ATTGCACTGTTTCTCAGAGGTCCCCTATGTGCATTACCCCCAGATTCTCCTAGTGGAGCTAGGGAGTCCTTACCACACTCAGTTTCCAGTTACTTGGGTAGTGGACAGAGGATTTTCCTTCAGTGTTGAGTTTTCTCCACTCTCGGAGAAGAGGGTGAAGTTTTTTCCCAGATGTCGATAGGAGCAGGACCAACCTACGTGGGAGCCTACTCATAAAACCAGTTCAGATTTGACGTTTAGCTATCCGGTAAAGGGGTGTTTGGACCCTCTTATGAAAACTGGCAGGTCTTATGTTGTTCATGCAGGGGTCCACTTCTTCCTTGTAAATCTGAACGAGATGCGGTCCCATCTTTGGTCCTTGGTGGGACAGTGTTCTACATCCTATCCATAATTCCATGGGTAAGTGGAATTCTCCTTGCTCACTTGATGGGAGAGTAAAGACAACTGTTTGTAAATCCAGACTGGATGAGTTCTGGACTTTGGTGGAGTATGGCAGATGATCCCGTAAATCTAGACCTAGGATGTTGCCTTTTGGACTTCTTCAGGTTGATCAGAAGGATTGTCCACTTTGGTTTTTACTTTCTTTCATTCATAAATCCGGTGGTTCGAAATGCATCATTCTGTGGTTACTGGTAGGGATCCTATCACAAAGATATATATATCTGCAGTCCAGCTGCCCTGGCCACCAATGTGGGATATGGATACCATGACCGTTAAATCCAACCTGAGTTGTGGAACCTCGGCTGTTTTGTCGGGGCTGGAGCATTATACTTGTATTATATTCCACTTTTTTTCAATTTTTTGTAGTTCTGGGTGAAGAGCATACCTGTTCTGCATGTAGTGCAGTGTTCCCCACTTTGATACCACTACTATTGGTACATATTTGTTCTCTGCAGATGCTTTCTGTATGATATCTGTTCTCACCAGTCCCTCTGCCTTCTTAATGTGGGATTCTAGCTACTTGTGTCAGCAGAGGTATGTATGTTTTGGAAGTTATCGTTTTCCTAAATTGAAAATATACTTCCAAACATACTTACCTCCGCTGACACTCTCCCTCCCTTCCTTCCTACTGAGATCCGGTGTTAGTGATCAGAATGAGGTAAGTCTTCAGGTTGAACAAAATGATTGTCCGGTGGTTCGAAATGCTTCATTCTGTGGTTACTAGTTGGGATCCTATCACAAAGATATATATATATATAGTGTGTACAGGTTCTACAAGGCTTCCAACAACTGTACAATATCCCTTGAAAAACCTCAGACCTGGCTTGATAATGGCAACACAAAGCAACTGAAACAGGCATCTCATACCACATGACTGTCCCACATGGAGGCTGTTTCCTCTCTCAGAGACACCTACTCAGCAGTGATCATGGATCTTGAAAACAGAGATGCTGGCTTGCAAGTCCATTGGCAGATGATCACGAGTTCAGTCACAATTTCTCACCAAAAAGCTGAAATCATACTCCATGATCTACATCATCCACTTCTTGTGGGATGCCCTAAGATCCAACACCCAGCTTGCCTTGACCTTTGAGGAAAACAATGTAGACCTTTTAGTGATCAAGCCCAAGATGGATACAACAATCAGTTCTCTGAGAAAATTGAAAACTGTTGAAGGTGTTAGTCTGAGGAAAGCCAGCAAAGTGTCAGAAGAGTTCAACATCCAACCAACTGAACATGAAATTGATTCTGTGACACTCTCCCTCCCTTCCTCCCCACTATGAGCCGGTGTTAGTGACCGGAATGAGGTAAGTCTTCAGGCTGAGCAATCATTCATTGACAATTTAATTGAGAACATTGAAATGCAGCTAGAGAACACTGACATCATTGACAGTCTCTCTGTATTTGCCATGAGTAGCACTGATGCCATGACAGAAAATGATGAGATTGAAGTGCTTGCCCTTCAGTACAGCCTCGACCCTGATGAAGCCCTTGCCTAGTGGGACCAGCTGAAGGAGTGATCAAAGACACTGACAAGGACAACATAGAATCACATTCTGCTCTTCTCCAGACAATCACACAACTGAAAAAAAAATTTGGAAATTTCTGTCCACTAGTTCACCAACTTATGGCAACTACTGTGGTTCTTTCAATTAGCACAGCTGAAGTGGAGCATGTCTTCTCCAATGTGCACAGTACAGTCACAGACACAAGAAACCACCTGAAAGTTTTAACTGTTCACAAACTCTTACTGATCAAGAAGTGTGACAAATACATGGACTTTGAGAGAGAGTGCTTAAGAGATGGCATCCACAGAAGTCCCAGCATATTGTACTTTGATATACGTTATGCCAAGATGAAGTATGAATTCTGTGTTAAAGGGTTGTATAGCTTTAGGTCAGTTTTACCAAGGTAAAGGCAGAAAATACAAACTCATGATTAAAACACCAAGCCAAAAGCTCATGAAAGCACTCATAAAATGTAGGTTCCTTTCACTATTTGTTAAACTTGAGGATAATTCTACCAGTGTTAAGAATGTAAAAAGCATAAGAAGCAACTGCAGAAAAGACTAATGTTGACTGTGGGATACTGCACCCAACTCAAATGTAGTTGATGTAAGGAAAAGAATGACTAAGGCTTTATCATAACATTAATCTACAATTGTCTGCAGGAATATGAGAAACTCGGTGGATACAGGCAGACAGAGTAATGACTTGCTGATTAATAAACAATGATCAACAACAAAATAAAGTTGTAAATGTTTATTTTTATTACTTAGAAAAATATACATTTACATCGATACAAATGATGAAATTATTTTTGACATATTATTCAAAAGTATGCATATAAAGTAAAGTATGAGACATGTGACCTAAAGTTAATAAGTCGCATGGTTGCCATCCTGCCCTTTTTTTCTTGCTGGATATAACAATATTTGATGTAAACATCTGCATTATTTTACTGGAAGAAATGTATTTCTTCTCTGACTCTTTGAGGAAGTTCTTTTTCTTCTGTGTATATTCTTGTATTCCATGAAATAGTTGACTTAGTCTCTCCAGTCACATAAAAATTTAATTCACAATCCATGTGAGTTTGAGTCATGATGAATAAATTCATTTTCTTGCCAATAATCAGAAAGAGCTTGTTTTTGATTGCTGATCAACTTTGATCTTATCCTCATAAATTTACCATAGGTAGGTCAGTCTCAAACACATGACTTAATGGGGATTTTTAATCTATTTTCCCACAGGAAAGGTGTAGTTTCAAATTTTTAAATTTTATCAGCAGCAAAATAAATTGTTTCAGATATATTTTAAATGCATAAAGTTAACCTATTTTGACAATATGCTGAATATCATTTAATGGTTTTTGAAATAAAAACCACCAACCATTAGTACTCAGTGTTAATTTAACTCTCCAAGACTTAACCTTCCTTTTGATTTATATGATAGTTTCTTTTGATGTCAAATCAGATTATAGAAAACTAATCAAAACTTGATGTGGGCACTAAGAAAAAAATTGTTTCATAGAGTTGCACTTTTTGGTAATCAAGAGTAGAGAAGGAAAGGAGTGGGTAAAATATTTAATAAAGTTCATTAAAAAGGTAATGAAATACATGCCTGGGTAGGATGTTGTTTTTGATTCTCATGAGATCAGAAAACTGCTTTTGAAATGCCCTGTGTTGTATGTTTGCCAGAAAACCATGTGGGTGCCTCACCATTTCTTGTCTTCAGTTTGAAATATAAGTGATTTTGATGTAATATGTTTCCTTGTATTTTGTTTTATAAGATTTAACAAAAAATATTTTTTGTACTTGGGTAGTGGAAATAAAAACTTCTATGTGAATAATCCATGAAAATGCTGTACTGTGTTAAAAAGTATTAATATATGTAATTCATGCCAGATATACTTTACTCATTTTCATGACTTTTTTCTATATAGAAGCCCTTTTTCCTGTAGCAAAACATTAAGAAACATATTTGTGAGAGTTTTATTAAATTTTTATAAACATAGTTAATTTTGAGTTTTAATAGATAAAACGAGAAGTTAGCATATTTTTGTTTTTTGATGTGGTAATGTAACTTTTTGTAGAGATGATATATCATTATCATAAAACAATTTTTAATTTACCCATTTGAGGCTGTTTTTTAGAAGTATAGTCTTGGAGAAGCTTCCTGTAACCTAAGTAAATATAAAAGAAGAACATGGTTTTAAATATAAGAATATATATATTTTTTAAATACAGACTTAATCACCGAAAAACTGTTTAGTTAGAACTTCATGCTTTGTTGTCTTCGGAAGAGGAAAAATCCTTACACTATTATTATTCATTATTTGTAATAGATTAGCATGTATATAAGTACTGATAGTTGATATTACTTTACATAAAAAGAACTTCTTTCTTACATGTATTATAATAATTTTTTGTAATAAGTGTGATCATTATTAATTCAGATAGTTTTGGATCAGTTATGTGAGTTGAGCTAGGGACATGAACTGTTGCTTTCCTCAAGGCAGTAATATAAGTTTTTTAGTTTTGAGATTTAAAACATGTAATTTTCCATATCCCTATATTTCATTTTATATTTCAGTTAAGGATTTTAAAATTTATCAGATTCTTCCATCAGTTAAACAGTATTATTCAGTCAGAATTTTGACAATTTACATGTGTATTAAGCAAAACAAGTTATGTTCTTCTTGAGACAAAACTTTCAACAAAATAAAAATGTTTTTATAGTTGCAATAAAAACATATTTGAGTTTGGGACTTATAACAGATACAGAATAATTGTGTCAAACAATTTATTTTATATGAGCATAAATACAACTACTTCAATCTGAAAAATGTGTTTGGAGAAAAATGGTAAAAAATGCTGGGTATACAAACAAAATAGTTTCGTATATAGAATTTAAATAATCAGTATAATGCATCAAAAGGTTGTGAAATGAAGAAGTTTAAAGTTTTTTTATTTTAGTATTAAAACATTATTAGATAAACAGTATTAATATTTGTAAACCTTGTGTCCTAGATGTCTTCTGATCATCATCTGTTTTTGTTAGGTTGCAGATGAAAGTCCAGTTCCTGTGGTTTTGTACAATGCCACTCCTAACACAGCTTTAGACCTTCCTCCAGAAGTTGTGATTAAGATGGCCAGCCATCCAAATGTAATTGGAGTTAAGGATAGTGTTGGAGATGTGAGTAGTAGAAAAGCATAACTTTCATAAACACCATACCAAAATTACCATTTAATATTTTGGTTTTAACTGGATTCTTCTGTTGTTTATTTTTGTAATTGTAAATAATGCCTTTTTTATTGTAAGATATTATGTAAGGAATGCACAAGAAAAAAGTAACATCTATAAATTATGAAATGCATTTAAATATTTTTTCAATATATCCTTCTATTGAATAGTAGGACTAGGGGACACAAATATAAATTTGAGAAAGGTAGGAGTCATCTTCAGCTAAG